AGTGATTTGCTCCATCCTCGCAAAGAGAGAGAATGAACAAATTTGATTTGGCTTTGAAATGGAATGTTGTTGAAGAAAACTGAGACAAATTTTATACACATTTTCTCCTTACACTCTATTAAGAAAAATGCTTGCAGATCTTTATTTTACAGTAGAGAATGTCCCTCGGAGTAACTGTTTCTAAAATCATGGAGTGGGTGGCATTTGTTATCAGGTCTAAACATCCATTTTTGCTCTACTCTTGCTTTCTCTTTGCCATGCAACCCACTTACTCACTTAGGCCCAAATCCTTCTTGTTTTCTTCCTTTTTGCACTGCTCTGAAGCTTGACCTCATTTCTTTTGCTTTCTTTCTTTTTGTTTTTAATGTTAAAATTACATTTATTTTTTTATTTATTTGGGAGGAGGGGACACATGTGTAGAAATCAGAGTATATATTTCAGGAGTGAGTTCTCTTCTCTCGTATGGGGTTTGGGGATGAAACACAGGTCATTAAATTAGTGGATAGAGATCGTACTCACTGACCCACATGCTCCACCCCCTTTTATTTTCTCTCAGGCTAATCATGTCTCCTTATTCATGAGCTAGATAGTCACATGGTTCACTTATTTTCAGCTAGAGATCATCCACAGGCCACACATTTGAGCTTATTAGTGACCCAAAATCATCATCCTAGAAGCATTTTACAAGTGGATGAAGGCCACCTGGCTTCGTGAAAAAGTCTTCTATTGAAAAATGGGGAAGTTTATTGAATTCTCTACTCAGTCATAACCAACTCCACTACTACCTGACAGCTGATATGAAAACACCACAAGCAGGGAACAGTATGGCCCTCAAACCCTTAGGTATCTTTCTTTACTCATTATTGTATTGATGCCATTGTTGGGTTGATTTAAAAAAGTGAAGGTTCCTAAGAACATCATGTCCAACATCAAATTTCCTGAAGAGAGTTTAGAAGAGAATGTCATTGTAGTTTCTGTTGTACACGGATGGTTTCATCTAAGCTTTGACTGGGCAGAAGCCTTAATCAGTAAAATCATTGTCTTGCAAGCATGAGGGCCTAGCTTAATTTGAACACTGAACAGAAGGAAAAAGCTAGACTGAGAAGCATGTGTCTACAAACCTAGCATTGGAGAGACACAGACAGGTAGGTTCCTAGGAATTGCTGGTCTGCCAGTCTAGCACACTCTGTAAGCCAGATTCAATAACTAAGGTAGACTAACCCAATCCTTATCCTTTTGTCTCCTATGCATGTGCTCCTGTGTACTCATACACACACACACACACACACACACACACACACACACACACACACACACGAGTCTGAGATTATTGACATGAATGCTTTAATGAACTTTCTCCTCATATTTCTACTATGTCAATTGAAATGAGGATTAAATGGCTCAAAATACTTTGAAAAGTGAGGACAAGAAAAACCAGATGAGTATAAACAAATAACACTGTAGGAAAAAGAAATGGAGTCACAGAGGGCTTAGGAAGGAGAAGGAATTAAGCAAGAAAAATGAGTGGGAGAGAGCAATGAGCGTGAATATGAAATCATGAAAGTATACATAAAATAAATATTAAATAGCATGGTACTAACAATGACAGCATTTATTCTGAGAAGCTTTATCAAGAGGTTTAATGACATTGAGCTTCAGAATTCAAATGTATACTCCTGTTCTATCCAGGGACAAAAAAGTAGAGATTGGAATGATCCTAATCAGTACATCTATTTGGTACATGTAGAACAAATGAAAATCTTAATAGCAGTGAAATTCTCCATTTTCCATGCTTCAGGTTCTCACATATGAGTTCCAACTAATTATACAATTACATGTTTGTGCATGTGTATGATGGCTCATTGATGTGCACACATGAACACACTCCTGTATACTCAGATACAACATACGCAGAACAAAGAAGCTTCCAGAGGAAAGACACAGAAAACAGCTAGCAACAGAATTGGATCCCCAGAGAGTCAGACAGTGGGACCAGCAGAGACAGCGTGTTTGATAATTACTATCAACATGCTTTAAAAACAAATTAAAACCATGAAGAAACAATAAAGTACCTCAGATTTTCTTAATTAACAGTTTCATTGGCCAAATAGCAGATTTTTTGTTTAAAAATTAAATGAAAAATTATCAATAAAAATGATCCACATAATAATTATATTAATTGTAATTAAGCACATCTGAAAAAATGAAAATATTAAAAGTAAATAGAAACTGTCCCCAAATTGATTCTGTGGCTAAAGTGTTTAAAGTATTTGCCATGAAAGCCTGATAAGCTGAATTGAATTTGGTTTCTTGAACCAAGCATTCCACAGCATGCATCCACATTCGCCAACCAATACCCCTGCCTCTCTCACATGTACACAAAACTATGATCAAAAAATAAAAAGTGTTTTATATGCTTTGAATTCATATTATTTTGACAGTAGTCAGCATTTACAAAATATATGAGATTGAAATTAAGAAAGGCCAAAATTGATTAAATTCAGATCTCAAATTTGAATACATAGAATGTAAAACAATCAATAGTTGATAAGTTGAGAATCTGAGAACTAATGTATAAAGACTAATACTGCATGTGACTAAATACAAAGATACATAGGAACTAATTAATAGACTCAGGAAGTATAGAATATCAAATAGGAAAATTTAAAAATAAATCTACAACCAGACACATCTACAATCGCACAACACCAACCCACACATCTATATATCAAGTTGCTTATGCTTAAGAACATACAGTCAAAGCAGCTGTGTGTGCTGATGTGCAGGAAGTAGAACATTCAAAAGTGGAATCAACTGACAAGAGATTTCAAAGGCAACAAGTGAAGCAAGGAGACAACAGGGGTTGTGTGTTCTCATTGCTAAATTTTCCATTTCATACCAGCCCATAGGAAGGAGAGCCGTGATTTGCATGCACATTGTGATTTCCACAGTGTTATCTCTCCTCATGCAGGTGGTTTCAGATTCCTGTCGTGGCATCATGGATGCAGAGCTAGGAAAGGCAAGCATCGGTAGAAGTCATGAACCAGTGCTTCTGCCTCCATAGCCAGAGTGCACATGTGCTCCTTCTCCCTCTCCTTCAACTCCCATCTGAAAAATAACACCCTTTAGCTGTCTAGGAAAATGATATTCTGAGACTCAAGGTGTGATAAATATATTGCTTCAGATAAAAGTTTATAATTCAGGGTCTTTAAGATGGAAAAAATATATATCAAAAACATTTGGCTCAGAAAGGAGAGAATGACATTTTTTTACAAAGCAGAAATAGCTAAGATGCAGAGAACAGGAAGGTAAAACTCATCAGGGCCACATTAGTGCACCAGAACAAACAGCTTCAGGAGCAGCATTTTTACGACTACAGTATTATTATTAGGCATGAGGGGGGCACGATAAAAACTAAGCCCATTCAGAAGTCATTCACACTGATTGATTCACCTGTCTATCACTGGGGAAATGGAAATTGACATTTTCTAGACTCATTGTGAGTTCACATAATGTTCTAAAAACGTTCTTAATGAATCTGGAAGACTGGAGAAATAGCAAATCATTTCTGGTCCTATGTAAGCTGTTCCACTGTTAGCAAAACATATTTTCTGCAGCCATTTTTCTGAGTTTGTCTCCTTTGCATTGCAAATCTACATCCTGTATGAGTTAGAGCAGTTTCTGTACACTTGTTAGGATTACTAAGTAAATGAGAGCACCCCATACTCCCCACAAAGACCTCAGAGTTTCTGAGAAGTCATTCCAAAAGGTGCTATCTAGACTCACAGTTGAGGGCTACAAAAATTTCATAAGAAAGTGCTTTCTTGTGTTTTCCATCCCTGCTTAAAATACCCAAAGTTGTAATTGTTTTCTAAACTGTGCTGTGACTAACAGAACTACAGAGAATATGACAAAGTCACAGAAATATTTGAATTAGTAGGAGATAAGGGGTCAACGTAAGTCCAAATGTACAAGTAATTGCAAAATCTGACAAAGACTTGCATTCATCAACTATAAAACACAGATCTCTAGATTATATAGTCAAAACAAACAAAGCAAAACTGGAGCTTGCTTCTTGAAGGTTTGAGTTTTAATTCCTAGAACCTAAGGAATTCTGCACTTGGTGGTACAGGTATCAGAAATTCCAATGCTCTGATTTGGAATGAGAGATGACGAAAATCCCTGGATGCTCACAAGCCAGAGTCCCCTACACTTCTGCACAAAGCACAAAGCACAGAACAAAAGATCCTATTTCAAACAAAATAGAACAGCCAACACCTGAGGTTGTTGATCTCCAAAAGCATCCCATGCCACACACTTGCCCACAGTCGCACATGTGAGTATGCACATATCACACACTATATATGTGCAATGCTTTAATTAAACTTAACTGTGAGTTATACACAAGATCGTTAATTAGAGTTAAAAAAAGAAAAAATAATTTAAAAGGAAAAGATGACCAATTTGTGACCCATGCAAAGGCCCCTTTTCTGCACCAGTCATAAGCAACATATATTTAAGCTCAAAAAGCCATTGTTAAACATCAGCTATTTTTTCAAACATCCAATTCTTCAGGAAAGTATTAAAAGTTCAGTGCTGTACAAGAAATAAATTTTTGTAAACAGAAAGTGAAAATTCACGTGCCCTGTGTGAGAACAAGAGGAGAACCCACTCTTTTAATGTGAGGTTCAAACATCATGCAACAGCTCTTTCCTTCTGTTTAAAAGTAAGGACATTCAAGTAAGAACTCGACTTTCTGAAAATAACTAGTACATGCAAATTTAAATTAAAATGTTATTATTTTACTTGATCGCCTTTCTCTCAGATTATTAACAATTAACCAGCAAAATAATTACCACAAATAGCCAGCCTTAGTATATCCTGTTGCAAAACCTGTATCAAGACTACAGACAGGGCAGTGTCTGCAGCTGCGAATCACTGACCACACCAATATTAATTTTAACGACATCCATTGAAAAATATAGGACAGAAAATCAGACCTGTTACTTTGCCTAAGATGAGTGACCTTGCCGTCCTGAACTCGACTTCTGGGGAGAAGTTATAGCTGAAGAGTTGCTGGTCCACCTGTAGGAAAACAAAACAGTGCCATCAGCCCAGGTTTTCAGAAGGCATAAAGCAATTCCTTTGTAAACACTTTATAGGCTCACACAGGATAGGCTCCTCTCAGGGGTTTTCTCTCAAGAGACCTTAGAAATGCTCCATGAGTTTTCCCACAATGCACATAAACTACCCTTTCTTCCTTCCTTGTAAAATAAGTTCTTTCACACTTCCATTCCCTTGGATATCCTACAGAGCTATTGTCAAGTGTTTATCTCCCCACTGAGAGTTCTTCACCAAATTCTTCACTGAAAACAAGTAAACACAGAAGCCAATTTCGGATCTGCTATGGCACATTAAATGGGACCCAGCAGTGTTGCCCATTTTCACTTTTTCTCCCCTCTTTTTCTGACAGCCATCATCTTCTTTTCTTCTATATCCCCGACCTGTTCTCAGGTGTGAACTGTAGGTCTTCCTAGTTACAATCTACAGTTTGATAAATACTTGAGGAAAGCTACAATATTGCTTCACTGACAGACCTGGCTGATCACAGCACACTCAATAGAAGCCACTGCTGGAGTCTCCAAGGCTTGGTTTCTAGGAGACATCTTTAGTAATCACACCTGGCTTCACATACCACTGATTCTGGCCAGCTCCTCATCCAGTTCTCCTTCCCGGGATATACCACCAATCTATCTCCATTTTTCTCAGTCTAGTAAGATCCAATAGATTGTTTCTATCTCTATTATTTGGGGAAAGAGTGTACATCTAAGTATGCGAACTTTAAAGTCAGAGGAAGACTCCAGGTGCCATTCCTCAGGTGCCCTCCAGTTTTTGTCTGAGTCAGAGTCTTTCTATAGTCTAGAACTAGGCTAGACTGCCTGGCTAGCCAGCTCCTGGAATCAACTTGTCTCTATCTTCTCTCTCAGCATCACAGAGATTGCAAGTGCAGGCTTGTCATCTCTCCTAGATCATTTTATAATGCTACTGGGATCTGGCCTCAGATCCTCCATCTGACAAGGCACATGCTTTATCAACTGAACCCTGAATCCTGCCCTCAAAGCTCCACTCTGAACATCCAAATGATGCTATCCTCATCATTTTCTAGTACATAAGCTAGTAATGAAGACATAAAGTTACTCATTGAGGTGAGTGAGATTGCTTTGCTTGGGGAAAATCAAATGGATCAGGACTAATATGGAATATTTCCATCCAGTTCTTCCCTTCACAGCTCTCTTTCTATACAGATCCACTAAGAGTGGCAATCATCAGAAACCTCCTGATCTTGTCATTTGTCCTATGACTTTAATACAAATATGACCTATAGTGTGTGATTTAATGCTATGTCACAGCTCTGTGTATTATTAGACCATAATATTTATTATTAAGCAAAGAATGTACGAAGCATTACACAAATGCATACTTCCAAATATACTTTTCCTTACAATGCTACAACACCGAACAACTTAATTTCAGAGAAGTCAGAAAGGCTAATAAGTAGACTAAGCCAAAAACTATTATATGAACAGTTGTCCATGGCAATGTTATTTCTGGACCTGGGATCCCAGTCTATGTCTTCAAGTAGCCAGGTTTGTCTACCTGTCCTTGAAAAGGCAATTTGAACAGCCAAATTAAGATTATGGGGAAGGCCAGGAGTTTTGTGAGTACTTTGATAACCACCAGTACTTTCTCTCTGACAGGTGAGCAGCATTCCCGAAATGTCTCTTATTGGTTGACCAGTGGCTAAAGATACAACAGAGGCCTGCTTTTGCTGCTGTTGATTGTGTTTTTTCATTTATACTAAATGGCTTTTAACAAATAAAAAAAAAGAAACGAAGATTGGGTATGGATGGTTGGAAAATAAACATAATATCATGCTGGATCAAGAAACTGGCTTAAGGATAAAACAGAAAGTCTTTGCTCTAGTCATTTATGCTTTCTTCAGCAATTTGCAAATAGAAAGTGACTGTTTATTATTGAATATAAATTGATTGGTGAAAATTACGTAGAGAAGGAAAACACATACATCTTACTGCTCTCTCTGTGCTCTACTTCCCTTTTTTATTTGCGAAGAGCACAGAAATACAAAGGTATTAAAATATTTTATTTAAAATGATCTACTGTACTTTCCCTAGTTTTCCATCAGGGCTTCATTCAAAATATAGACAAACAAGACTTGTAGGAATAACTAATTAATGAAGTATTTTATTTGCCACATTAATCCAAGGACCTGAGTCTGGTCCACACAACTCATGTAAAATTCCACATGTGGTGGCATGTGTTTGTAATCCCAGAACTTGAGAGGAAGATTCAGGGAGGTCTCTTGAGATCACTGGAGAGCCAACCTAGTTTCCTTTCTGATTTCTAGACAAATAAGAATCTTTGAATCAAAAAACTGAGGAGGAACTGGGTCTCATCAGGAATGATACTTGAGGTTGTCCTCTGGCCTCTACATGGTAATCACACATATGACACAAATAGGAAGTTATTACAATTCCTACCATACATCATTTCAGAAGCTGCCTCACCCAAACACACTCAAAGGTGTGACCCTTACTCCTCTCAGAGAATACTGCAATAGGTAAGAGGGTAATTTCTGATGGTATGGCAATTATTCATGTTATATATCCAAGAATTATTCCTGAACTTTCATTTAACAGGAATAGCTAATAGTCACTTTTACCTTTTCCCACAGGCCACATTCATGTGGTCCCCAACACTACACCTTGGCATCCCTGAAATCCTCACCGTGTCTCCCCACAGGGCATAATTTATGACATGTTTAATGTGACATAGAATCTTCCTGGCTGAATTTTGCTTTATGTCAGTCACTTCTGAACAATTTTTTTCTATACAAGATGACAGAGTGTTCAAACAATGAGGCTCCAACCAGTGTATGCTCAGCTTTAAAACCTAAAGTATTCCCACTTGTCTTGGTTTAAGAAAGAATTTGACATAGCCTAGAATACCCTGGAAAAGAATCTTAATGAGAGATTGCCGAGAGTGGGCATGTTTGTAAGGAATTATCTTAAGTTAATTGATTTGAGAAGACCCACTGTGAGTGGTACCATTCTCTAGTCAGGAAATTCTAAACTGTATGAGAGGAGAGAAATAAAGCTGGAAACAAGCAAACAAGTGATTGATACATCCATTTCCCTCTGTTCCTTAATGCCAATGGGAAAATTTTGAACATTCTGCCACCCTGAGTTTACTCTTATGGTGCACTGAAACCTGGAATTATGAGTGAAAATAAATCCGTTCTGACCTAAGTTGTTTTTTGTCCGGATATGTATCATAGCAACAGACATGAAAAGTAGAACATCTCCCCTTCTCCAAAGTCACATCCATCTTAATAACATAGCTCCTGAGGCCATGTAGAATCCATTCTCTTAGTTCACAAACATTCACTGAGGGCCTTCTGCTATGGACTTCTTGGTAAAGAACTAGCTCTGCAATAACAAATGTAAACCAAGTTCCTGTTTCATCAAATTTACATTCTAGAGGAGAGTTAAAGAACATAAAGTAAGTAAACAAATTATATTCCATATCAGATGTCATGAGTTCTTAAGAGAAAATAATAAAATGAGTCAAAGACAATGGGCACTGTATAAGAAAATCAAAGGAGCTAGGTTGCAGGACATTAGGAGATGCCTGTATGAAGATAAACATTGACATATTAGTAAGTGTGTAGCACTCAAAAATGCAAGATTGAATAAGATAAGACAGCACATATCTATAGCTACAAAATTGCAGGAGTCTAACAGAGTCTTAGGTGTATCAATCGGTAGAAGAGATAAGAGAAGATTGACAAAGAGACAGCAGTGATCAACTAATGTGGGAGAAGAAACCTCAGAGAAGACTGGTACTGTTTAAAAAATAAGTAAGTCAAGTACCAAAGGTTAGAAGCAATTGCTCTGTCAAAAGTCAGGAACATAACCTGTAAGGAAAAGCCTGACATGTCCTAATGTTGTGTAGCAGCTTCCTCCGTTAGAGAAAACTAGGGTAGAGGGAACCATTGAGTTGGTCTTGTCTAGCTGATTTGAGAGGTATGCATCATAGGCTTTTCAGGTTAGAGTCAGTAGCTCCTGGGGCACTGTGTTCCTTTCAGTTCCCGAGAAACAGATGCACTCCCCCAGGTAGTGAAGCATTCAGGCTACTTTATGTTTTCTGTATTTTCCCTTACAAGTTAAGAAAGCATGACAATTGGTATTTGACATTTACTCTTGTATAACCTCTATCACTTGGAAATGTCTTTGTATCCTGGCAACTACAAGTGTATTGATCTTGGCAATAATCATTATGTTCTGTTTCTGATAACAGTATAAAAATACTGATTTCTCTCAATAAAATAATCACAGCCTCAGTCTTGCTGTGTCCCCGCCAAACCAAGTCCAGTTTTATGTCTTAACAGACTACATCAAGTAACTTTGGCTCAGTAAGAGACTGTGGGCACTTATGCTTGGGAAAGTGAAATACTACATCCTACAGGCAATTTCATTAAACTTGGTAGGTAAATAAGTCAAAGACTTCAGAAACTAATCAGATACACTATGGCTAGGCCAGAATGAGTTGCTTGGAAAAAGCACATTCCTACCTATTTATATGTCTTCAAGCTGGACAATGCAATGCCCGCCAGGTTTTCAGCTTTAGTGAGTTGCCACCTATACTGGGTTGGATTGTAGTTATGTAGCTGTCTTTAAGTCATTAGGTTTCTGTAACCCCTCAACTGTATGTCTGTTAGTAATCTCAATAAAACTCACTGGTTCACTAATTTGGACTTAGCTGCATCCTTATATTGGTTTGTTGTTTGTTATCTGTATGGAGTAAGTAGGCTTTTTTTTCGTGCCTCCACAGAAATATTTCACACTTCACAAATGTAACGTCATTTATATCTTGAGCAGCACAACTTTCTGTAACATGGTGGGATTATGGGGAAGAAAATCACAATAGTTAATTTTTATTGTCAACTACATGTAATTCAGAATTATCAAGGAAACAAGCTTCTAGGCATATCTGTGTGGTTCTAGGTTGGACTAACTAAGGAGGAAAGGTCTACCTCAAATATGTATGGTGCCGTTCCCAGAACTGGGGTTCTGGAGTAAGTAAAAAGTAGAAAGCAGGCTGAACACCTTCATTCATTTCTCTCTGCTTCCTGACTGAGGAGTGAATATGATCAGCTGCCTCATGCTCCTGCCAGCATAGCAGACTGTACTCTCAAACTGCAATCCCGAATCATTCCAACTGTTTATTAGGTATTTGGTCAGAGCAATGAATAAATAACTAACTAAGAAGATATGCTTTGGACATTGGCATATGTCAAGTTTTCCAAGGAATTTGAAAATAAAGTCTAGCTGTCTGTAAAACTGGTGAGAAATGGGTTTCTTTTTCTGTAGTCAGATGTATCTTGGTTGATTTGCTTGCTTGTTTTTGATGCATTCAATAATTATATGGCTTGTGCTTCAGTGAGGTAAGTGGTGGAGCTGGAAAGGTGATAAAAAGGTTGAAAGACAGGAGGATATTGGAGCTGCGTTTGTGACAGGGCCATGAGATCTGACTCACAGGTAGTAGAGCAGGCCTGAGAACTCTGAAATACTTAGCCCAGTCATGGGAGGGACAGAGTACACAACCTCCAAGTCCAAGTAGGAGGAGATATGGGAAGAGATATGAGAATGTGTGATGTCTCTTTTGAAGAATATATTGCTCATAGAAGAAGAGCCATCATCTTCTGAGAAGGCAGATGTCATTGTACCTGTTGCTATCAAGGAAAAACAGCATTTGACATGACAAATGTCAAGGACACAAATGGATGGATGAAACTCACCTAAGCAGAATGATGACTGCTAAGCTCACTAACAATCTCTCTTTAGATGGAGGGGTTTTGGAGACTTGGGCTGGACTTAATTGAGATCTGCCCTGCTCTGCTCTTGGCTCTTTAAACAGAATCACTCATCTTTAAGAGGAGCCTATTACACTGTGTTTACTCAGATAGCTATGCCCGTGCTCACACAAACACTTGAGACCCTTCTTTGTCTTGTCTACCCAGTCGGCTCATCCTTGTTGTCAAGAGCCAGTTTGCACTAGGAAGTAATTAATGATGTATAGATGCAAATTGTGACTCCCTAAAGGCTTCCACACTACCTGTCGCCTCCTCTGTCCCCACCTGTGCACTATGCCCTCTTCCCCTACAGCCCTTCCTGCAGTCTTTTGTACTTTCTTGTTTGCATATATTTCTTCATATTTCAATGTGGCTATGAACTGATTAAACTAGAGCAATAAAAAGAAAATACTTCCTCTTCCTCTCCAGTAGTTTCTGATGGACTGGCTCTGGTAGGGGACTCAAGAATTTTCATTTCTAGCTATTTCTCAGGTGATGGCAATGCCAGTGAGAAGAAAGGGCATGACTTAGTGCTGGACCAGAGACTAGAGTAAGTCTATACTACAGTATGTGGCTTGGGTTAGCTCAGACATGTTTGATGGAGAAGCCTTGTCATGTAGGCTGAGTGGAAAAAATGAGAAGTAAAATACCTGAATGGAAAGCTCTGGCCCCTCTCGGCTAATCTTCACCTGATGCACCCTTCTGTTGGCCAAGTTCTCTGTGCTGATGGTGAACACATGACTTTCTTCCTTGCTTAGCCGATAGCGAACTTGTAAACTTCCTTGAAAGCAAAAGAGTGGGTACAGATTAAAATCAAGAAAAGCAAACACAACATAGAAATATCTGATTAAATTGTTCATAAATTGGTTGTTCCTGTTTTCTGGGCCTCAGTGGCTCAGCATTAAACCTTTTCAAAATTATATACTTATCAGAGTTGAAATATAAACTTCTGGCTATGGCTACTAAATAAAAAGAGTGTCTCTGTTTTGTTCTTGTTGTCATTTTCTACATGTTCATTTTTAATTAAAATTCTAGGTTGAGATAAGCATGGAAGTATAGACTTGTAATTTCAGTACTTCACAGCATGTCTAGACAGGAGGATCAGGGTTTCAGGTTGTCTAGACTACAGAGGGAGACCCTGTCTCAAAAAAGTGACTATAAAGAAAGAAAGGAGAGAGAGCAGAGGAAAGGAAAGATGAGACAGAGGGAAGGAAAAAAGGAGAAGACAGGAAGTAAGAGGTCCACATTAACAAACACACCCACAAACCTGTCTTGTAATTGGAATGTGAGAACATGAGCCTGACTTGGTTTATTCTCATGACTTGGTTCTTTTAAAATAACTTTACTCCTTCTGAGCTTGAGAAAGAGGAAACCTACCTTTTGCCACCACTGATGTATAATACAATGTTTCCAGTTTAAGTGTGCTCTGAATAAGCCATGGTAACCAATCTATACCTTCATGGCCCCTTAGAAAATTCAAATTTTACCAGGAGAGTGTGTTCCAGCAACTCACTTTTCTCTATCAATGCAGTCAGAATATCAGTTCAATGAATCTCAAACTCACAGGCTGCAAAATGGATGTCAACTAAAGATGATTAAGGAGAGTCTGGAAAGGCATATGAAGGTCTTTCCTTCCTTGACTCTTTTATGTGTGAAGAGGAGGTAGAGGACTGAGGGATCAAGGAAGACAAAACACTACAGTATAAACAGCTATTGTAGTGTGAATAACCTTTTTTAATTTGAAAGCTACTCTACATGAAAGAGTGAAATGGAAGGCAAATATTCATTGACGTTTTCTCCCATGTTTTCTCGTTTTACCTCTCCAACATGCCTAGTGGCGCAAGTTGCTCTGTCTACTCTGAGCGTTCATGTACACTATACAGTTGGAGTCTTCCTCAGATAGCAGAAGTTCTTTCCTTGAATATACAGGCGAGGAAAAAATTCTGTGTGCAGCGTACAATATCATATTTTCAGAGGCATTAAGGAGAAAAGCACACTTACTCAAATTTGGGCTAATAAGTATGATTCTGGTCCATCCCTTCATATTTTTCCATTTCTTTGGCCTTCCTCAACAGACTTAATTTTTTCCCATTGTTGACAATCATAGGGTAGCAACCAGGCTTATATTCAAGATTAATATTCTTAGTCACCATGTCAGTGCTTGAGTCATCTTTTCCTTTCTCTGCTTCTTTCTGTGACTGTTAATATTCCTTGTCCCACTCTTCCCTAGGGTTCTCTATCACCACACTCCTACTTCAATACTACACAATGGTAAACAGTTTAGGTTTACAGTCCCGGAGGTAGCAAACTGTCACAGGGAATGTACTATCAATATAACAAACTAAAGAATAGGCAAAATGCCAGGTCAGAAGTGCATTGAGAGCAATGCATCATACTGCATTTATCTCCCACTTGGTCTCATTTTTCTCTCTAGTCTACATTAGCAGTGCTGCACATAAATAGAATACTTCTCTGCATGAATATGGGCAGAGATTTCTGTTTAAAATTTGGAGATTAAAAATAAAAGTGATTTTTTTGAGATGCAGTTATCTCCTTCTTTCCAAATATGTTCCTGAAATAAACATTTGTGATAGAATGCACTATGGTCACCAGCAAGTACCACATAAAATTTTACTGGGTCCTTTTAATGTTGATGCACTCAAATTCTATCTTTCTTCTATTTTCTTCCTTTTTTATACCTTTGAGCAAAATCATTACCTTTATGCCTTTCTGTGTGTGAGAAATACACGAGAGTTATTATCAATACTACTTAAAAACAAATCAGTAGGGTCTTGTGAGATGACTCAACTGGAAACTGTGATTGACTACCTGCAATCCATCCCAGGGTCCCACACATAAGAAGGACAGAACTGACTCCCAAAAGTTCTTTTGTGACTTCTACACAAATGGCAATGACACACTGCGAACTCAAACAGAAACACAGAATGAATATATTAATATGATAAAGTCTTTAATTAAAAATAATAATGCAAATTTATCCTAATATCAAACAAAAATACCCTAGAATTAAACATGGTGTTGAGGATCCTTCTTCAAAAGATCACATTCACATTCAAAAAATTGCCCTTGTCAAACCTGACAGAATTACATCTCTTACCTTTCTAAACAAATTCATCATGATTTCATTCCTGCCTTCCATATTCATCTAGAAAGTTCTTTGCTTTTTTCTTAATTTTACAGATATAAGAAAACAAATGAAAGTTTTGGACACTGAAGAAATTATTATTGTATTTACTTAATAACTTTTAGAGTCAGGTTTAGAACCTATAACTACGTGGTTCTAAAGTCTTATGTTTCCTTTAGAATGCCAGTCATCCCTTTCCAAAATAGGTCCTTCAGTGAGGTGAGGCTTTCACATTAGGATCCTTTCCCCTCATCTATCAGAATCCAGCATAATATTTCTCTTGGGAAACTCCCTTGCTTCTTTAAGCTCATAGGCCTGTCCATCTTTACCCTAGTGTACATGGTGTGATATTGACTATAATCTGCAAACTCTCTAGAAGTCAGGACATATCTTGGAGGTGTGTGTGTGTGTGTGTGTGTGTGTGTGTGTGTGGTGTGTTTGTGTGTATGTGATGCTCATTTATATATTCATGCACTTTGCATATCCATTTGTGCACTTGTACAGGCTAAAATCAACACTGACTCTTCCTCTGTTTATCTCCATCTAACCTTTGGAAACAGGGCCTCTCATTTGTTGACAAAGAGCTCAATGACTCATGAGACTGGTTGTCCATGCACTGGGGTTTTGTTACAGATCCAAAGACCTAGCTTTTGTATGAATACTGCGAATTCAAGTTTAGGTCCTCATGCTTGCACAATAAGTGTTTTATTTACCAAGCCATGGCCCAGGCCCCCTAGTTCTGTAGTCTATATCTTTCTGAGGTTTGGGTCTTTGAAGTGTTTTTCATCTAGCTGAAGGAGACTAAAGCAAATACCCTTCATGGTGCTATGACAAATCTGTCAAGGATGAGGTACTTAACTCATATTGAACATTAAACATGTCATCAGTGGCCTGCATACATTTCTAAAGCCAATTGTTCCTTAACAGTCCATATATAATTCTTGTTGGCATCTCACATAGTCTTTCTCTTTCATGATTAATTCATTATTTTCAGATTATATTTGCTTATAGTTTTAGTCTCAATTCACTGGCAATTCTTGTCTTTTTCGTGAGGCACTATAACTCCCAACATGGTTTCTATCACCAAGGTGAATGGCCTTCTGACCTATTAAGGGATTTTTCTGTGCCTCTGTATCCACATATCTTCTGCATTAAAAAGACTCTAGCCATTGTGGTTACTTCCCATTTCATTTTAACAAAGCATATCAGTTAATATTCTGTTTCCAAAGAAGGTCATTCTGAGTTCTGGAAAGATGATAAACTGGAATGAAGAGCTTCAAGATCAACTAGATTTACTATCAATATAATTATGTATTGCTGGCTACTGGGTTTTGTTTCAGGATATGTCTTCAATATTGTTTTATACTTTTTCATTTTTTCATCAAAGCTATTAAGATTAAGGTTATAACTTAATGATAGAGTACTGTGGGTATCACTCACAAGGTCCTGCGTTTGATCCCTGGTATGGCAAGAAAAAAAACTAACTGCAACAGAAAAAGGAAAATCACATGAATTATTTTATGTGAAATTCAAATAGAAGGAAATTAAAATCTGTGAAATAAATCTGGACATGTGAACCTTAGCCATTTTATAGAGATCTTCTCTCACATTTCATTATGACTTCCATTGCAATTTAAAATTCATCCTGCTTGCCTCCCTTTAGATTCCCCTATAAAAACATAAAGCATGATTTAGAAGTCTTTAGGTCAGTGAGTACATTAATGTCACTCTCGCCTCACAAAAGAAACGAGAAACAATACACCTAACTTGAGAAATTACGTAAGACCATTCTTAAACTAAGTCCATTTGTTAGGGCTTGTATTCATACTAGCTTATAAAAGTTACTATTACATGCAGTAATATAGTTATAAAATTCTAGAAGACCCATAAATTTGTTTAAAAACAAATTCATGGATTAGAAGAATTACTATCATAAAATGTACATACTGCTGAAGGTAAACTGATGATTGACTATAATATGTATCAAAATTCTAGTGACAATATTTAATAAATGGAAATGTCCAGAGTTCTACAAGGATGACCCCAATTAAGACTCTAAGCAATAGTGGAGAAGCTACCTTAAATGCTCTTCCCCTATAATGAGATTGATGACTACTTTATATATCATGCTAGAGCCTTCATCCAGTAGCTGATAGAAGCAGAAGCAGACACCCACAACTATGCACTAGAAGTTGAACTTCTAGAATCCAGTTTCAGAGATAGAGGAAAGATGAGCAAAGGGGTCAAGACCAGGTTGGAGAAGCCCACAGAAACAGCTGACTTGAACAAGTGGGAGCTCATGGACCCCAGACTGAAAGCTGGGAAACCAGCATAGGGCTGACCCAGAACCCCTGAACATGGATGTCAGTTTTGAGGCCTGGGCAGTCTATGGGGCTATTGGTAGTGGATCAGTATTTATCCCAAATAGATTCGGGAGCCCATTCCACATAGAGGGGTACACTACCAGTCTAGACACATGGGGGAGAGCCTAGGCCGTGCTCCAAATGATATGACAGACTTTGAAGATTCTCCATGGAAGGCCTAACCCTCCCTCGGGAACAGAAAGAGGATGGGATTGGGGGTCGATGGGGGGGCAGGGTAGGAAGTAAGGGAGAGGGAACTGGGATTAGCATGTA